TTCCATTATGTTAATTGTTAACGTTGTCTGCAAACAGGTTACAGGATTATTGTTGTTTAATTTAGTTATAACGTTACAATGGTTTGAGAGTCTGGGATGTGTTGCTGACTTACAGTAGTTTATAAGCTATGATTAGTTGCGTAGGCAGTGCACATTAGGCCTACATGGATCTGCAAGTGATGGCAGGGGCGTGGAAATCACAAGCCACACGTGGCTGAGAGATCGCACAAATTTTTTCGCGGCAAAATACAGATATTAACATAAAAGTAAAGCATTCTTGGTGTTTTTGTCATGTTGCAATAGCCTGTTTACACCGATTATATATCAAAATCAAAGCTGATACTTTATGCTAATAGATAAAGGAGTCATAATAACATATTACATGCTTTGAATTCTTTATATATAGATATGCAGTGTTCTATGCAGCCTGGATGGGTCGCTGTACGTGATTCAACACTTATTATAACCACAAGAGACTTCAGACTTGACTTGGACTCTAGCTCAAAGACTTGAGACTTGACTTGGACTCTAGCTCAAAGACTTGAGACTTGACTTGGACTCTAGCTCAGAGACTTGTGAGCATCTCTGTGCTGAGGCCTCCGCTCCCCAGAGCTCCATCTAGACATTGATATTAAGTGTTAAGGGCTCCATGTGAGGTTCCTTGGTAAGCTGTCTTTAGGGTAGAACATAGACAGGCCTCCACTCGCTCTAGGGTCATCATGCTGAGGCCTCCCCTCCCAAGAGCTCCTTTTAGACAGCGATACCGAGTTGCATGGCTCTCTCTGAGCCTCCTTGGTAAGCTGTCTTTAGGGCTGGTACAGGTTAGGTTGACTGGGCAATACCACCACTGGCGTCCCACTGCCTCATCTATCACCCCTCCAGTTTGGACCTGGAGGTGATAATGAGGGAAGCATATATACACCTAAGAGTTATCTTGCATACTCCCTTCTCTAAGACCATTCCTAGTGCTTAAGAGGTAGTAAAGGAAGTGTTGAGTTGCGATAGTATCTCAGTATCTAATGGGTCGTTAGGCTGTTGGGGGATTTCCCTGGTAAGTTCTGCTCCCAGGAGTAGGTATGAGCATTGAGCTTCAGGAATTTCCCTGGCTGGGTTGTTAGCTCTTCTAGGAAATATGGGCATTGTTTCATGTCACAGTGATGTGGCTGAACGGACTTTTACATTTAATTCCAGTGTAAGTCCCTTGAGTTATCGGTGCAAGTTCACTAGGATTGTGCATATCTTCACATCTTAGTGAAGCAGACACTTGTTCAGCATGGTGAAGTGGGTATTAACGTTCCGATAGCTTCAACGTTATGATGCAGCAATGAGTTCCCTTGAAAGGGAACGTCTAGGTTATGAATATAACTCTGGTTCCCTGCACATCTCCTTCAGACAATAAGCTGATGACGTCTAAGGAAGGCACCCTTTTATACTCACGGGTGATACATGTGATAGGGCTGCCATCTTCCAATCAATTGGTGTGTTTCCACACATTTCAGACACTGGTCACGCATGGGGCCGTTCCCACAGCGTCAATGTTAAGACGCATCGTGTTGTTACTGTCACAGTTATGTTCAGTTTGTTGTAGTTTTCATGGACTTTCGGTTTGCTTTCATCAGTCACATGTGTTTCTTTGTCTTTGTTTCCCACCACTCTTTAGTTTCATTGGATTAATCTTCTCAGCTGTTCATTATTTCATCATCATCACTGGGTATTTAAGTTCCTCTGTGTGCACTCTTCAGGTTTCCAATATTGTTTGTGTGTTCGTGTTTCACAAGTTTTCTCGCTTGTTAGTTCTGAGGGATTTCAATAAACCTTGTGTTATTCGTGATCCTCTTCGTCTTCCTTGGATATCTCGTGGCAGAATACCGGGCCCAATATGGAGTATGCTGCGATGGCTCAAAAATGAGCCACAATATCTTTACCTTTACTGGGGCTAATTATCATCACCCTGTAGACCTCCCAGACACCTCTGGACTAGACTGGAGGGAAGCTATTATCCAGTATCTGGAAAGCGTCTATCCCCGGTCCAGAACACAGCCAGACCCAGAGCCCGTTCCACCACCTTCGACCACGATAAATTGTGTGAGCCCCCCGCAGACGGAGAGCGACCGCCGCGATGCATGAGCCAGAGCCTGAGATGAAGAGGACAGAGCTGACCATCGACCCAGAAGAGAAGCCCCACGTTGAGTCTGACCAGGGGTGTGAGCCCGCCACACCAGAGGTTGAGGGAATGCTGGTGGAAATGGAAACTAAGGACTGGCTGATCGACTTCAATGCGGAGGTTTCAACTCCCACCCTATCCCACCCGGTACTTCCTTCATCATTGCTGTTTATAGGCAGCACTATGACCTGCATGGTCTATAAATTACTTCCACTGATCCTATCAAGTTTCCATCTGCCGCCATCACCGCAGAGCTAAGCCAGTCCTCCAACCCTGCCTCTGCTGGATGTTTGCAGCCCTTCACCATCTCTGGGGATGCCTTGCTGTGATGTCAAGCATCAGGTCGGGTAACCACCAGCAGCACCTGAGCGATAGGATCCTGCGGCTCCGCCTCTGATTACTTCACTCCATCTCAGCCTGTCAACATGACAGCTCCGCCTTGGCTCTTCCCACCTTCGGCTCCACCAGAGACCCTTGACCTTGCGGCTCCACGGGGTTCACTCTGCTTCCGCCACAGACTTGCGGGTCGTCACACTGGCTCCGCCTCAGCCCTCGGGGATCCAGCCCCTCCAAAGCCCCCATCGTCCCTGCCTCTTGTTGTAACCCGTTACGGTCCGAGGTTGTGCCTTTCCGGCGGGGGTGTACTGTCACAGTTATGTTCAATTTGTTGTAGTTTTCATGAACCTTTCAGTTTGTTTTCATCAGTCACATGTGTTTCTTTGTCTTTGTTTCCCGCCACTCATTAGTTTCATTGGACTCTGATTCATCTTCTCAGCTGTTCGTTATTTTGTCACCATCACTGGCTATTTAAAGGGGTTCAATGATGCCCTTTTACGAAGTCTTGATTTTGTTTTTGGGGTGTACTATAATATGTTCATGCTTGATTGTTCAAAAAACCCATTATTTTACATTATTACAGCTCCTCTCTACCCAGTCTGGTTGAATGCATTTTTTGATGAAGCCACTGATGTTTCAGAGTGGTATGTTTTTTTTGGTAATGTTCTTATAGATACGATGGCATCCACCATTTAATCATATTTGTCGGAAAACAGTAATAATTGGATAATTTTCCTGAGGGGCAGGGAACAGTCTTACAAAAGCAAGAGCTTATAAAAGCTATACACTACATAAATACTGTAATTTTAGTTAGCAAGCTAGCGGAGGCAAAGCTTTGCCCTTCATTTGCATCAGAGCTATCATAGCAACATAAAACTTATAATTGGAACTGTTAATAGAAAATACATCTAAAAATAATAAGACATACTTTCAAGTTTAGATCCATAAACAACAAATGTCCCAACAAAATGGGAATTGTTACGTCTTTCAGGAGAAACTTTTTGTGCTTATAGCCTGCATTGTACACTGTCTGCTGTTCTCCGTAAGATGTCCAGCGCACAGACAAATGAGGTTATAATCTTCAGGAACAGTGTTTTAACCAAAATTTGAACCTCTCTAAGTCCGTCAGCCTTAGGACAAATTTTTTCCAGGGTGGAAAAAACAGTGACAACACTCTTCATCTTCTCCAGCGCAGCTCAACCAGGCCTCGCCAACTTTCTTTGCGTATTCCTTGGGCGGGGTTTATTTAAATGAGGAACGTTATGGCTTCTTAAGATCCTGAAAAATCGTGTTGTAGTCCAAACGAGACATTCGTTGTAGTTCTTGAAAAGTGGATTCTGTTAAATAAAATATTTCCTTTTGGAGTGGACTTTGAGCTTTGTAACCTTGCAGATCTTTTTTATGCTTAAACAGCAACATTACAGACTAAATAAAGTTGAAAAAGTGAAAAAGCATGATAGGACCAGTTCCTCTGTGTGGACTCTTCAGGTGACCGGTATTGTTTGTGTGTTCGTGTTTTACTCTCTGTCTCGCTTGTTAGTTCTGAGTTATTTCAACAAACCTTGTGTTATTCGTGATCATCTTCATCTTCCTTGGATATCCAGTGAGTTACCCCTCAGGGAACCAGGATTATATTCATAACATTTTATTTTTGTTCAAATTGATTAGGCTTGTTTAGAAAAATAAACATCATAGGGGTTAAATTCCATTAAAATTCATTTCATATTTAAGTTCCACATCATCATATTAATATTAGTTTAATACTGTACAGAATGTGAATGTACCTCTAAACATATTTTAGCCCAACTACAGATTTTCTAAATAAAGACTAAATATATTTATATATATATACTTATATAAACCTACCTTCTGAAACCTGAAATGTTTTGCATAAAAGATCTTTCACAGCTTTATTTCCATACTGAGAATCAATGGACATGCAGATGAACTCGCTGCATTATTTTTTCTCCAATTAAAGAAATCTTTACCTTTTTACTGTCTGCATGGGACATTATCAAAAAAGCTTAGGTAACAATGCCTACACACTTCTTCATGTACCTTACCTCAACACCAAATTGTACAAAACTCTTAAACCCGTTATTAGAACGTTAGAAAACCATTTGCAGTATGCATAAATAAATGATAATGTTGATCATTCATAAAAACTGTTGGAAATCTCTGATCTTGCACATGCAAGATCATGTTAATACAAAAATCAAAGGAAAAGAAATCACGAAACTTTTTCATATTTTGTAATGTTTGTATTTTGTTTCATCATCATCACAAAATGGGTACATGGGGAGGAACAAGCCTTTTCCAAAGAACCTGAGGTATTTTGCGTCAAGCAGCCTAAGGTATCAAGATTTTTTCTTTAAAAAATTCCCTATCTCAATTAGTTTTGTTGATACGATGCTATTCACACAACATATAATAATAATAATAATAGTAATAATAATAATAATAATTAGTTGCCAACTATTTAACATTATCAGCAAAAAAGGACAGCCTGCATCTTTTTATTACATGTTTTAAATAATGATAACAATGTCTTTAAAAATATAGTACAGGGAAGGAAAAGGAAATACAGGTAATGTCTCACACAAGGAAAACAATTACAGCAGCACAAAATACAAGATTTGCCATTCAGAAAAGCTAACTGAAAAAATACAGACATAAATAAATTGCTGAACTATCTCACATGGAGAGGGCATTCCCATTCACATTTGCACACACACACACCCTTTCTGTGTTATATTTAAACTTTGGAGCGTTCTAGAGATTCTGAGAGAAATGGAGAGGATAAAGGGAAAAAGGGAGAGAAAGAGTAGGAAAGAAATGGGTGCAAAAGAGAGAGAATGAGTGAAAAGGACAGGAAAGAGAAAGCTCAGAGCCCAGATTTGTAATTGAGTCATCAAAAGCTCCCCTGAGAAAAAAGCAAGCCGAATGTATTGTCACCACAGAGCAGATCCTGTTCTTATCAGTTATTGGTTTTACATATAAAGTTTATGATCCAATAGAAACTGGTTGATCAACAGACATAACTCTGTCAGATCATCAGTCAGGTTTAAAAATGCATCTAGTTGTGTATACTTGTTTCATTTGGGTGCGCAGTTGTGGATATAAAGGTTAGGGGCTTATCTCCTCTCCAAGACGCCAGTCTATATGAGCATCTGCAAAGGGTCATTCACAACATCCATCATACATCCTCCCGCAATCAGACCCAAACAAACAATAAATAATATCATAAATATGCAGAACAAATGGGGGACACAGACAAACCCCTTTAGAGTCCCTGTCATTTTTCCCTTCATTTTGTCTTGTGTGCTTGTTAATACAAAAATCAAATTCTTGAAAATCAAAATGAGTTGATGGGGTATCATACATATTCTTCTAGATTACTCTAGATTATTCATGCTGGATTAAAGTCTTTAATAATTCAAGCCAGCAGGCTGGAGAGACAAATGAAAGCCATACCAAATGCTTTAGTTTGTGACGCACACCGCAGGACATAAATGGTTACACATGATTTTTTGTAAAGCGTTGTGGTACCCTTTTAATGAGAACATCCAAAAACATCCCACTTAAAGCAAAAGAAAGTGCATTTTAACATCAGATAATTCCTGGTAATAACCGCACTCTCTTATGAACAAAAAGGAGGACAATAAGTGAAAACATATTGCTTGTAGTTCCGTATCGGTCTTGCAAGTGTATTTTCGTAAATATCACTGAAAAAGAAAGATCAACACTGAAAAAAGAGGAAAAATAAAAACTCCACAATCTTTATATTATTTCTCATTACCAGAATGAACCAGTAGAATAAATTAAAAATGTAACTAAGAAAAATGACAAAAAAAAAAATTTAAACATCCATTGAAATCACTGTGTATAGTTCATATACTATTTGTTTGTAAGGAAAACAGCAGCCTCGAAGCATGCTCGGTGAGAGGAACGTGGGTTGCACAACAGTTCGAGCATCACCACTTGGGCACAGGAAGGGAAGAACAAGACCCTGAAATCTGGGTAACAAAAGAGTGACAGAACATTATGGGAATATGCCCACAATGCGTTTCCTTCATGACATGCCTGGTTCCTCCTCCAGGATTCCATGAATGCTAGGATACAGGACCAGGGTGGACAAGAGAACGGCACAAAGAGGCCTTCATTCAGCCAGTAAAAGCATGTACCACCAAGGCTAAGTCTATGCTGACTCCTTGTGCTGTGGCGGTGTAACTTCATAATATGGCATAATAAAAGAAACAAGTCTAAGCATAACAGCCATGCTTGATTCTCAATACACCAAAAGGCTGGAAAAGCTTTTATGAGGAAACCTGGGGGTCTGTTTCTAGAGTGAGGAAACGAGGGATTCTGCCACTGGAGTCTCAGCGCGTTGTCATCTGGGCATGGCTATGGCTTAAAAACAGTAGAAAGTCAAAAGCAAAGTCAATCTGTGTCAGGTTCCACTGGCTTAAAAAGACAAAAAAAAAAAGTGTCACATTTCTGAGAACCAGTCATTATCGACAAGCCTATGAACTAATATGAATGTTCCACACAACAGCCTCTCCAGGCCCACTCTCAGTCATCCTTGCTCATAAGTGACGCCTGTCCGCTGCCTGTGTGTAAAAGTCCTCAGGGGCTGTGCAGGTGATGTCAGGATACTTCAATGATCTCCATGCTCCCAGAGAAGCTGGATTGCTTGCTGATCTTTCCCAGTTCTTCCCTTGAACGTGTCTCTGATATCCCCTCTTCAAACTCCATCTGACAGCTGCGCCGCTTAAACTGCTTATCGGAAGCACAGGAAGTGGGAGCATCCTCGTGCCAGCTGCCCCTCGAGTCCCGTGGTTCCCCCACCTTCTCCCGCAGACGCACAGCCTCACACGGCCCAGGGAGACTGCTACAGCCTAGCGTAGGAAAGTGTACTGCCCCTCCTCCACCTCCATTACTGTTCATTGACTCCGAACTGTAGAACCAAGGGGCTTCGCCTGTTGGCGTAACAGGGGTTGTGGCCTGAACGGTGTCTCTATGCTTGGTCCACATGGGCCCGGTGCCCACAGTGGGAAGGCTGAGCAGCAGGGAGGGCTTCAGATTGTCATCAAGACTGGGACTTTTGTGTGCAGGGAGTGAGCGTCCGAAGTTTAGGTTGTGCGAGTGCACAGGAGAACTTCCAGCACTGCTACCATTGTGCTTGCTTTTCCTCCGTGAACGAGGTCTGGAGCTGCTCTCAGGAAACAGGCCTGGAGATTCAGCTAAACCGGGGCTGACTGAAACAGGTGAGTATTGGCATACACCATTGGCTTCTCCAGCCTCTGGGCTATCCAGCTTGCAGAGTTTAGGGACATCTTCGGTATGCACAGGTGCGAGGCGAGGACAGTGGTTGGGCTCGTAGACAGATTTTATGTCAAGTGAGAAAGAGCGCTTGAGACGGTTGGTGTCCAGGATACGCTCTGCCGAAAGATTCAAGCCATTAAAGCCCTGCTGGAGGGAGGTTGGAGAAGGTATCTTAACGTCAAATTCTGTGCGGTCTTTCTCCGCCTCCAGACGGCCCTTTTCAGGATCACTTGAAGATTCTCCTCTAGGTTCTGATAGTTCCTTTAACTGCTCCAACTTCTCCTGACCTGAGGACAGAGCTTTTAGCAACCTCAGACCCTTCTCAAACTCCAGCAGCTGTCCCAGGAAGTTGAAGTTGGGTGATATTGAAGGTCTGCGGTCCTTCACAAACCTGGAAAGACAAGAAGAGTAAGAATGATTACCCTAGGGACAAATCCGCATATAAGGATAGGAAGACATCTTCAACACAAAGACTCATCATGTGAGCTTGTAAAGGCCTTAAACAAAAATATGTGTTTAAGAAGGCTTCAACGGGTATTGTTTACTAGTTTCTATGTGGTCCATTTTACATGTTGCAGTAAATGGATATAAAATTACAGGTAGCAGAAAACGTTTTTTTTTCTGAGGCCGTGCAATTTAAGCTGCAGGGTGTCTGAGTGAGTTTACCTGTATGCGTCATCTGATGACAAGCCCATTGTCTTCATGATATAAGCAATGGCGATGGTGGCGGACCTGGAGATGCCAGCTAAACAATGGACAATGACTCGACAGTTGGAAACCTTGGCTTTGTCTGAAAGGGAGAAGGGAAACACGTGAGAAAACACAAAACATGCAAGACAACCAAATACCTGAAAAAAAACCCATATCATTTCTGAAAATATGCTTTTGAGGATCAAATTTGTTCTTCCTGATATCATAACAGGGCATGCTGCTCATTTTTCATGCTAACATGTGAAGTTCACATAAAAAAGATCAATCAGCAATGCAAAACTCTAATCAAGTGTTAAAACAACCTTCTAGAGTTACAAGCAGGTTCTTACCAATAAACTCGTTGGTTTTGTCTAGCCATGGCAGGAGTTTTTCACAGTAGTTGTCATTGACGGGTATACGCATGAAATGGCTTTCGGAGATGAACTCTGGCTTTGGGCAAGTGTTGCTTGCATTTAATACATATGTGATGCCATTTTGAGCCATTAGATCCTGAGAGTGCAAAGAACCAGGGTAAGAATTATGTAGCGTCATTACTTCTGTTTTGGATAAAATATTCAAACAATTATTTGGAAAAAATCTCTAACATTCCAAGATATTAGTTACAGTCAGTTGTACCTTGTTGAGCACATCTTTTTGTGAGCCAAGGTAGAGATGGGGCAGGATTCGTGTGGGACCAACATTTGCCACAGGCAGACATGGCTGAGACAAGCTCATAGGCAGAGTGGCCACTGGCTTGCCTTCACACAAGCCTGGAAAACAGGACGAGAATGCTGCAAAACCACCTGAGGAAACAGAAAAAAAGAGAGAACACATTAAGAACAAAATTACCCCCTACCTATGTGATAAAAGAAAGACAAGACCAACAAGAATGCTGGATTTTGCGACTGTCAACAGTCATTATGTATGGGATGCAACTCAAAATCTCTCAAGCAGGACAAAGAACTGAACAAAGAAGCTGCAACCTATAATAATAAAGGGCATGATTCAAGTAAAAACCTTTCATACTAACAAAGGACATGCTGATGTCACACATCATTTGTCAAAAACCAATAAAGAGAGGATTCAGATGTTATGAACAAGATTATGCCAATCTAGGTCAGTGCATGTAGGAACATAGCAGTCAAGTGAGCAAAGACCAGTTGGCCTAATGAAGGATCCTGTCTCTTTAAGAGGCGGGTGGCTCCAGTTTTGGCATTTGTCTGCTGGAGCTCCTTTTCCTGAATGACCTAATATCCTCAACTGAACAACTGCGTCAGGCTTAGAGAATGAGGGTGGTCACAGGTGCAGACCAGGCCCTTGATTCATAGCTTTAGGGTGTTGGGTGCGTGGGCAACAACATACACACATTCAAATGCAATGTATAAATTCGCAACTGCATTTACAACTATAAGCATTCACATTGTGCATGAAGCTGAACTAGAATGTATCAGTTTAATAGGGAAAGATGGAAACGTGGAATGGATTTACAGAGTAAGAAAGTTCAGTCTTCATCGAGCTGTGCAATGCTGCCAGAAAGTGTGAGCCCCAGCAGATGGGTTAAGACCTTAATCTCAGATGAGCTTCATGAGAATTTGGGACATGGTAACCCTGGGAGCGTGCAGACACAGCAGTCAACCAGGGAGCCATGAAATCATTTCGTCCCAGCCAGGAAACAGTGAAATAGTCCAAACAAAAGTGACTGTGTTAAACAGATCTGGGTGGGATGGAGTTAAAATGAAGTCAATAAAATGAGTCATGGCAAATAAAGAGTGAGGTGATAAGAAGGTTTACAACAAAGAAATGTAAGCCATGCTCAGAACATCATCTAGAGTCTATACAAGGGTGACACATCATATTTCAACACACTGTGAATTTTAAAAAGCCACCTGCTTTGCCCTAACGGACAACATGGAACACCTGTCCCTCTTATCCATGCATAAATCACCAAACAATTATTGTATGTTTGGGGGTGCCTGGTTTTTTAAGAGCTTGAGCGACAACCTGTCTGTTTCCTGCTATGAATGGCAACGATCGGTACAATGACATCATCTCTCAGCACAGAAGACTGAGAGGTGATTTGCATGTCACTCAAGCAGAACCAACGGGCCCCTGGTGCCTCCTCCATACGCCCTCGAAACTAGCGGTAGATGAATGACTACCGACCAAATGTTCTACGACCCCCATACTGGTTCAAATGCACCCTTCCCCCCAAACCCCACACACGTACACACACACACAAATACATTCAAACACATTGATACAACCATCTAATCTTGGATTTCTGTCCCCCTCCCCCAAATGCAACTCCCCTTAGCGGTCCAGTGACATAATCACCTAAAAATGTTGCTCATTATGTCAACACATTCAGCGATGCCTAAGATTCCAAATTTTACCTGGTTAAGGCTTGTTGAAACCTATCCCACATCTCTCAAATGCATTACTTAGGCCAAAACAGAAAAGCAATGCTGACCTCCCATCCCTCTCCCTTGAACTCAAAAGGTCAAGGATTTCAATGAGCATCTTGAATCTCTGAAAGGAAGACCACAGCTCTAAGCTCAAAAGGCAAGCAGACAGGATCTCCTTTTGCAAGTGATCTTTGATGCTCTTTTCATCTCAAGGATCTGGAATATTGCCCTGCTTCGAAGATCTAGAGGGGTGCTTTATATAGCTTCCTCGAAAAAATGTGTTTCTGTACCACAGCAACACAAACAGGAACAAGTACAGCACCACATTGTTGAAAAGCCAAGAGAGGAAATGCTTGAGTGAGGTCATCAGCTATCATTTCTAACTGGGTGGTGGTGGTGACAGTTAGGATTACAAGGAAACCATAAGCTTCCGTATCTGTCTTAACGTCAACAAACACCTCATTTTACTTTTGCAGCAAAAATATGAACAATTAATTGCACCGTAATAAGTAAAGTTAAAGAAGTTGTGCGAGGGACTATAACTGATAAAAAAAAATGCACAGACACACACTAACAGTTACAGTCACGGCGGACTTAGGCAACATTAGTCACTTTTATAGTCTCCAGTTGTGTAACAGGCCAGTGGTGACGTTTCTCAAAACCACAGGGAATATGAGTGCATGTGTGTTTTCAGCAAGAGAAGTGTGCCAGGGTCAAACTCACTCTGGACGAGAAGGCAATGTGCCACTCGCACACTTCCTCTATGTTTTTTTTTCCCTCTGTCTACAAACCTTACATAACCGTCCATTTGCCATCCAGCTTTCTCTGAAAACAGAACAGTGGAATAACCTTTCTTGTATGGAGGTACCACAACATTTATCTGAGTCTATAATGCTTGGGTCACCACAGACTTGTGGGATACTTACCTAACGTTCTACTGCAGCTTCAATGCCATGTTCCCCTACTGCGCAACAAAGAAGATGAGGTAAAAAGGTTACACTTTTCGGATATGGCCATGAACTATCAAGACCATGAACTATCGAGATGCATTTGTGTTTAATAACACAGAGTTGCAGAGTTCATTAACTCCAGCCTTTGATATCAGTTCATTGTCCTGCGGCACCTGACCTCCATCTTTAGGAGCCCCTCTGTTTTTCATCTTTTCAGCTGAGCTCTATAGGCACTCTCACACAGACTTCTATTCAAGGCTCTACATCCAGCGGCATTGATGGGCCCCTGAATGAAACTAATGCACACCAACAGACACACACACACACAAGTCTCCAGATGCAGAAGACATGACGCCATTGAGGAGCAGCCCCCATCTGTCCCCATCTCCGCGCACACACTCACTTATTAGCATCTCAATAAAGGCCCAATGACATCATTGTACACATGCATGCTGCACAATGAGGAACACAAAAACCAGCAGGGGGTTGGTGGCTACCTCATCACTCCCGGCGCTTTGTGTCATGCTTGACAGATTAGAAGTGTTAAACCCCGGGACCCTGTATCATCGAATCATTAACTGTTGCCGCTATTACAATTATTGCATTTCTGCCCTAAAGCCATTACGAAAACATAGACGTCACTGCAATAAAAGTAAATTGCTTGGCAAAGTCCAACTGTTTGACTTCTATTTGGTGACATCAGTAGAACGCACACACATGGTACCTCAAATATACTCTTGCATGTGTGCATAATGTTTCACAGGCTGTGAACTATGAACACACACGAAGACAGCGTTAATGTACTTAAATCATATAAAGCAACCCAATGCATGTCCATTTAAATTTGCTACTACTCTTGGAGATTATCATAGGAGCACTATAGCAACGCTAGGTTATTTTTTTACTTTTTAACATACATTTGTGGTAATAGAAAGACTGAAAAAGGAAGTTTAACATCAGTCAATTTAAAATATTTAGATAATAAGTAAACATAGCGCATAATCTCGAACCATACACGTGTTTGTGTTGGTACAGATGGGAAAGCACCATCTGTCCAGGTGACAACAGATGCTACACACCTCTAAGCTTGCGTTCCTTCCTCATCTTACGGACTCTGATTTTGAGCCTCATGTCTGTTCCCTGGATCCCCGGCCAGAAGCAATTCTCCGGAGGGGATATGACCACGTCTAGGGGCATCCGCACCAACTCAGAATGCACCAACTAGTCCAAACCACAGTCCAAGAACTATACGTCTGCAAGATGCTGGGTAACAAAAAAATGTAAGATCCTAAAAACAACACCTAGGAGGGAAACTCCACAGGAGAGAAACAACTGCATCCCCCTCACAGAAATAAGGGCAGAAGAAGTGTGTGGTCTTTCCTCAGGAGCGCCACGGATCCTTCCTCGATCTCATTCTGTGTGGCAACAACTGAAAGTGGAGCTCGCTATTGTTGTACAGCCTACGTTCAAGTCTTTCCCCGCCTTCTCTCTCTCTCTTTCTCTCTCTCTCTGCGTGACCTTAGAGTGAATGAGCTCATTTGCCGTGAGCATAGTCTGCCCTGTCTCTCTCCTCTCTCGCTTACTTTCACTCTGTCTCCCCCCCGTTTCTCTCTCTCTCTCTCTCTCTCTCTCTCTTACTGTGTGTGAGCTGAATCTGGCTCATGAGTAAGGCATGCAACCACATTCCTTACTCACCAAGCAAATATGCAGCCACCTTAGAGGCCCACTCTATGTTTTTCTGAAAATGAGAAAATATAACACTCTGTTTTAGACAGGAACCACCAGACTGCAAGTACACTCTTTATACAGTATATGTACGCTGAGATGCACATTTTAGCTTGAGCTTCTCTCTTCACACTCCCTAAATGCATCACATTTACTATAATACAAAATGCACTACATTGTGCAAATACATATAGAGGAAAAAACTAAAATTATATGCATATTAAATGCATTGACAATTATTTTTACTCTTATTGAGAGTGAATTTTGTATTTGTCTTCCAAAAATCAGAATTTTACATTTAAAATGCCGCTGAACTGGTGTAGCAATACTAAGGCCACGGTTTCTATTCCCAATAAATGCACATACTGAATGCACAAAGTCGCATTAGATAAATGAAATTTAAATGATTTTTTTTTTTTTTTGCAATATATTGATATATAACAAAGGCAATAAAGAAGCATTTGATTCGATCTATACAACAAGGTAAATTCACCTTACTTTAACAACATAAATCAATCAATTGCTCGAAACGGAGTGGGAAGAAGTCCGACTTATTTAGACCCACCCCGGTCTGTTACAATTAAAAAGAAAAACAACGGTAGCTGCTTCCTTAATTGCTAACGTTAGCATAACTCTCAATTACATATTTATATAAACACAAACATATCTTAATTACACACCATATTTTACCGCATGTAACAATTATAGTAATACGAACAATGG